AAAGTATAACTTCCTCAGAAATGCAACACATGTTGGCAACAACTGAAGTCTGAGAAGAATCTACTGGAAACTGCTAGAAATAATTGTCTCTTGGCAGTCTGGTGGCCATCTAAACCCAGCACCATGTCTCATGTCACTGATATCCTCTTTCTCACCAATCTATCCACCATTTGTCCTTCTCCTATGTCTTCATCCCCAAACTGCCCTATGCTTCCTCTTCCTAATTTATTCTCCAACTGCTTCTCTTCTTCCCAAATCTTTTTGCCATGACTTGTGGAAATCAGACTTCAAGTTTAATAAATCCTTCTATATCCTCAAATTCTTCATTAAAAGTTGCCTCCATTTTCTATGCCTTAATTTCACTTTTTCCCCCTGTAATTCTAAGATGGTACCTCTTCTCCTTATAAACCTCAAGACTTTGAATAAATTTTACATAATATTATGTAGTATTTTACTTTCATCTATTTCGCTTATCACCAAATCTAATAAGCATGAGTCAGTAAATCAAATGGATACCATTTTCAAAGGAATAACTGATAGCAGTCTTGAAGGAACACTGTGGCAACACAACCATAACATAAGGTATTTCACAAATTTAATTCTAAAATTTAACAGATACAGTACACAGAATTTAACCTTTCCCTAAAATGAAAGGTTCACTATTTCCAAAATGCAGGTATTTTCCCCTGACCTGCACAATAATCTACTTTAGTTTTTAATTACATACAGAAATGAATTAAATCATAAAGACTATATAATAATCATAATAACATATACTTTGCTGTGTAAGTACAACCTGTAAGAAGGAAAACTAATGCGAGAGGTCTGTAAATACAATCAGTTATAAGCTGGCAAACATCCAACCAAAAAATTCATAGTAAAAGACAGCAGACAGTCTCAAGGAGTGCAACTGTGAGACGTGCTCTCTCCCCAGTTGTCACACAGGCACCATATCCTTTTGTTGCTGGTTAACAGGGTGGCTCATGTGTGTGGGACACTGGCACAAAACAGTAGTTATGTTCTACCTCACAAATGACTACACTTCATTGAGTTTATGCTCAGTAGGGCAGTGTTTGCAAACCACTTAGATTCCAGGACGGAAAGAGCTACAAAAATGAAACATCCAGTCCTTCTCTGAGGTTTGTTATTAGCCTCTGTTAGCCACAGGTTACAGGGCACTAAACACTATGTACTGTGTGTTTGCTCGTAACCGCTATGAAAAATAGCCTATAACATCTTTCTGAAGACTCCTAGAAAATTTTAAGTTAATTTAAAATCTGGTAATTTAACTGGGACATACTTCAATTCTTAGAACTAGTTCTTGACAAAATACCTCATTAATTCTTTCTTGGGTGTCAATTCAATTTCGTTTTAATCAACACTATTCAATACACTATCACTAAAATTTAATGCTACTGGCAGAAAAAAAAAGTGAAGAAAGTCAAATAATCAGTTTTATTTGACTTAAGTTAATTCCAAGCCTACAAATAGGTTTCTTTCTACACGATAAGAAGTGCATTAAAAAAGAGATCTATAGCTTAATAGCTCAGATACATATAATTCTTTCTATACACATCATATAAGTTAGAGAACCTAAATAAAAATCCTAAATAATACATTATACTAATGTCTTCAAAACAGCTTGTCAAAACATTTCTGAAAGATTTCTATCCTGTAGCAAGTGCACAAAAATCCAAAATATTCATGAGATAGGCAATATACAGCATCCACAACTCTAAAAACAGTACAGATCCACTTTGAAGAATAATTATATAATTACATAACATTATTAAATGCTATTAAAGTGCTTATGAAAGCACTGTTTTTTTAAAAGTTACGTTTCGCCAGTTTATGGCAGTGAACTTTAGACACAGCTTCTCTGGTCTGCTTAAAAAATTTACATAGAGTTTAACAAAAGAAACTACTGGTAGATGTACTGTATTGTATTTTATATATTATTTAATTTAGAATCTTTAGAAAGCAGAAAAAATTTATTATATTATCATTAACGTATGACATCTCATTTTACCTTCTTAGAATTCCTACTTTCCTGGGACGATCTCATGAAAATGTTCATGAATTTCCTAGAAATACTTTACTACACTGTTTTTTTTAATAAAACAGGGTATATGCTTTACAGAGATTGTTAAGTATAAACAATGTAAGGCACTGTCAAACGAGAAAAAAAAATGTACCTTCAAAACAGAAATCTTATGTGACATCCTCTTTCTCCCAAGATATGAAATACATTAGAAAAGAATAGAGACATTTTACTAAACTCAAGTATCCTCAAAAAAAATGGAAATTTTCTAAATTTCTACAAATTTGCCCATTAACATCTGCTGACTTTAAGCAGATATGTACTAACATAAAACATACACTGCAAATA